CTGCTGCTTGTGGCTGCTGGTTGAGTCCAACATCGGGCAAGAGAGGATTCCCCACCTCATCTTTTAGAAGAAAGGGCAAAGGCATTCAAGGCATTAACCAAAAAAAAAAAAACATACACACATGAGCTTATACTCCAACTGTATATAGGTTTGTGTACCTTGGATGAAGTTTATGAACATCTCCAGGTCCCTGATCTGGGTTTTGAGCTGCTCTACCAGCTGCTCTTTGACACGGGCTGGGTTCACTATCTGAGCAATGGCAGCGTCGACTCTCTGCCGAAGCTCTTCCGGCGACAGGTTCCCAATGTCCTCATTCAGGTTCACGTCCAGCTTTTTGATCAACTCGTCAATGATGACCTGAAGAAGGTAAAACAGATTAAAGGTCTCCACCGCCTCCTGAGGGAAATATCAGGCTCATAAGCAGGAAACTGCTCTGCTGTGTTCATCATGTCTGACTGTGTCTGTCTGCTGTAGGGACGATAGAATACAGTGGGTTTATCTCATCATATTATTTTTCTTTAAGCTCTTCTGACAATTGAGAGCTGTTTGCGAACAGCTTCACGCTTAAAGAGATAGTTCACCAAAAATTTTAAATTCACTCATTATCGACTCACCACTATGCCAATGGAGGGGTCGCTGAAGTCTTTGAGTCCACAAAACACTATTAGGTTTAGGGGTGATCAGCCTTGCAGCCAAATCCAAGACAATCAAAGTAACCTGTGACTCCTTCTTCAAACATAAAATGCCTCCATACTGCTCCTGTGGTGTCATCCAAAACTCAAACTCATCTGGAAACACGTCATTTACACCATGTTTTAAACATAAAATCTGTCACCCGGCGTGTGCCCATGGACGATATCTTGTGTGCAGTGTGTGCGAGCATGACTCCAGAGGAGGATATCATAGGACATTTAGCTTAAAATATGGTGTAAATTATGTTGTCGAATTTGAATGTTGGGGCTTACGGACACTTGGATGACAGAATGGAGGCATTTTACGTTTTTTTTGGTTGTTTTCAACAGTTTGAAGGAGTCCACAGTTACTTGAATTGGATCTGGCTGCAACGCTGTTTACCCAAAAGTCTTTTATGGACTCAAACACTTCCTTCCATTAGCATAGTGTTGAGTAGATAATGAGTGAATTGTCATTTTTTAGTGAACTATCCCTTTAAGCTGTTTTCAGACATGATCTATGGAAAATGTACAGGTTTTGGACAAGTTCTTGAGTTGGATTATTTAAGTCAGACGCATTCACAACAACAGGAACATTTCCAGAATATGCAGGCGAGGGGAGGAGTCTTTCCAAGTTGACATCTTCATTGGAAAGTGTTTTCAGCTAGTCTACACTTTTTTTTTAGCTTAAAGCATTTTGAGACTTGTTGTACCTGATCTGCAACAGGTTAATTATGTGCTCAAACTAACAAACACACACATAGGGAAATTATTTTGCGATCTTATTAAGGATGCCACGTCAGGGTCCCCACCTTCTGTCTCTCCATGACGATAGACTGCGGCAGCGAGTCGTAGCTGCCCTCCTGGTAGGCGAAGCGCTCCAGATCATCCAGCTGTGTCTTCAGCTGGAAAATGAGATCCTTCTGTTTTTCCCTCTGGGCCTCCAGGCGCTCCCTCTTCTCCCTCTCACTCTGATGGGAGAAGCCCACACAATGATGTTAATTTTTACAGACAAAGTGTAACGTGACCATGGCAACACAGCTGCTACTGGATGTTGACAATGTGAGATTTCTGCTACTGATACGAATATCAATCACGATGGTACTAACATTGTCACATTAATTCAATGTTAATTAATTCATATTTAATTTAACATTCACATTTCATTTGACCTGTTTCTTACTCTGTTTTCTTCATGTGTTTATTTATGTTTCTGTTGATGGTTGAGGATGCGTGCTTCGTTTTTTGGTGCAGATCCCAATTTTTTTCGCTTTATGTAACATTGTAAGAGTGTTTTTCCATATTTTCATTGATTGCTCAAAAAATAATTCATGGCTGTTTAGTGGACTGATGCTATTTGGTCAGATCCAAATAAAAATCAGGATCTAGTGAATTTAAATGTAGTTTAATAAGGAGACTGTTGGGCCTTGGCGGATGTATCCACTCTACTGAGGGACACTCAGTAGAGTACAGTAGTGAGATGCATTTAAGTGTGATTTACAATAAGGCACACTGAGAGGAAGAGAAGGGACAGGATCATAAAGCCTGCTGCACTTTTTATCACCTGTGTCACAACATTTAAAGAAAAACACACAAACCTAACTCTGAAAAACACGTCAGGTGTCATACTCACCAGATCCCCCTGAGGGTGGAGCATGTGACAACAAGGGAGAAATAATAATACTTTAGGTTGGATATGTGATGAGAAATGTCACATGTTTAGGACGACTACACGAGGCCAAGCCTTTGTTTCAGTTACAACTAAACAAAAAGAGCCTGAGAGCAAACAATATCTGGAGCAAGGCAGGTTGCTTCAACACTGCTGTGTACACACAGGCCTTTATTAAACAGATAGCGATCTGCCAGAGTCATTTCATTTAGCCTGCAGTGCTGTGAGTCACACACTTGTGGCAGAGAGCAACATTTTCCACCAGAGATTAGAAATCCCTGGGAACAAAACAGTGGCACAGCCGCCTCGACTGTGACGCAGCAGGCTGCACGCTCGAATCAGCTTTATCCAGGAACGTCACAGTGAATCATTTCAATGTATGTGGCCGGATGTGCATGTGTGTGACACTAAAGTCATACCTGAGGATCCAGATCTACAAAACTGACTGCTGAGAAGCCCTGCGTCATTACTGGATAATCTGACATGAATTCCCACTAATCATAAATGTCATAAATAAATTGAAGAAAATTCTAAAACCACCAAACTGACTGAAACCCAAACATATGCAAAGCACAGCAGCAAATCCTCAATTAATACACTGGAACCAGAGATCATTCAACACAGACCATAAACAAACATGTCCTGTCTCTGTCAGTGTTGGGGCTCCATACAGGGGCTGTGGGGGGCTTTCACCTCTCAGTGCCCAGGGGTCCATGTTCTCATATTCTGCCCATGGTGACATAAGGATGATTCAATATTGGATCGTAGCGTGATATGCTCTTTCTCTCAGTGTGGGTGTTGACAGTGGTTTGTTGTGGTTCGTGCCGGGGGCCTCACCGAGTTCTCCAGCTGTTGGGCGTCCTCCGCTCTGCAGCCCACCACATGCGGGCAGCCCCTGAAGGCGAACTCCTCCAGCTCGGCCAGCATCCGCTCCTTCTCGTCGGTCTGCGCGTGAACGATCTGCTTCAGTCGGAACTGGACCTGCGCGAAGTGGGAGGTGAGGGCGAGCAGAGAGGAGTTCAGCAGGTCCTGCTCTTCTTCCAGCCTCCTCAGCTGGGTAGCCATTTCCTCCTCCGTGCCCGAGGACGAGCCCCTCTGCTTCGGCTGACCAGCGCGGCCGCGGCCGCTCTCATCCTCGGGACTGGCCACGGCGCCCACCGGTGCCCATCGCTCCCCTGCGCCGGCGAACACGGCCTCGCTGTCCGAGGTCGACAGCTCCTCTGTGGACATGTCGACTAGTCTCCCGCTGTTTCACTCCGCCGACACTTTATGAACTGGAGGCTGGACTGTCGTGCGTTGCGCAGCAAACACGAAGCATCAGTATCGGTGAAACAGGTGCGACGCCATCTTGAGAATAATGATTCATACGTCAAAACACCGGAAGTCAAGCACCTTTACCTTAAAAATAAAATAATTCCGATCACAATATAGTGCAGTCAAAAATAGCTTATTACTTAATTCATCTTTAATTCTTTCGTTTACTAAAATAAAGTTTTTTGTTTGTATTTTGCTGCTTTAACATGTTAACATCCCTGTTTGGGATCATTGAACCCCTGTAGTTAAGGAATTTATTATGTTTGAAAACCGTCCAAAAATTAACAAAGGATAGTGATTGACCTACTACTATATATCATATTTAGATTTTTCACTATTCATTTAACTATTTTTTTCTAAGTCATTAAACTGAGATTTGTAAAATTGGATTGTATTATTTACTGTCAATAGTAGAATTGTGAATACTTTTATTTTGAATGCAATAACAGGAAGTTGTGACGTTCACATGTACTGAGCTTTAAAGTTCTCACCGGTAAAAACAGAGAAAACAGCAGTTCACTGTCAGCCTATAAAGTGGGATTTTACAGCACCCGTTTTATGTAGCAGACACAGCAACCAGACACCAAGTGATTAATAATTTAATTAATTATTGATTGTCGTAAAATGAGCGAGACGTTTAATGTTTCTTTGTGGTTATTTTTTGTTGTTGTTGTTTTCCATCTATATATCTGTTACAGGTACGATGTTCCTGTCATGGCTGAACAAGAAGAAAAAATATATACAGCAAAATTAGTTTTCCACAACAGTTTTATGCTGTTACAGTTTAATACAGTAAATGTGTTTAATAAAAGTTTGTTGCACTTCATATGGTTCAATTCTTCTCGTGTCACACTGAAGTAGAAAGATTGAGTAGCATCTATAACATCTGCACATGACTGAAGATAGGCCTGTGTTTTACATATGAACAAACAAAACGCACAAACTGTTATCAGACAAACATTACAAAAGAAAAAGTTAAATACAACTGTAATATTATTGTAAAACCACTCTTGGTTTATATTTGACTATGCTTATTTAGACTGCAACAAAAGTTAAAGAGGGAAATGTATTGCATCTGTAACAGGTTGTTTGCAACTAGCCCCATGGAAGCCAGTTGCAAAATCTGACTTATTTAAATAAATATATTAAATTATGTGTTATATGTAAACAGTTTTCAGTCATATGGCTAATTAGCAAACAAATGTGAGTTGAAGATATAAAAAGGTGGTCGGTCTAGCTGAGAGAATTAAAAAAAACGTCAATTTTAATGACTTCCGTCCCACGGTGCTGGTGATGGCCCTGAACGCAGCATCCCCCTTTGCTCTTCAGCGCCCCCTGATGGAGTGTGACGTTCAGGGCTCCCTGCTGCAGAGAAAGAGAAAGTGAAAGAATTAGGATTTCATAGAACTGATCCCGGACCAGAGGTGAGTCTAGACCAAGCTGTTTTTTTAAAAAGACAAATCAAATCAAATGTTAAGTTCAGTTGAACACAACAGAAGTGAAGCTGAAACATGAGATAAAACATGGACGTGCTTGTCCTCGTGTTTTTGACTTATTTCAAGTTGTGTGAGCTCAGACGACGATTTGTTCAGTCGCTGGTTTGTTTAAGTTGAAGCATTTATAAGTCGAGTTTATTCGCTGTACCTTTTTGTCTCTCATGTCTTTATAAGTTAATGTGAATCTGATGTGGATTGACAGGAAGCTGTAACAGTCTGCGAATCATTTCTGATCAAACTTGGACTCCATGTCTTCAGATGAGGTGAGACGTCATTTTGTTTCACCACGTTAACAAGTCGTTCTCTGTGTAATTTGTGTTTTTGAACTTACATTTGAATATGTATATATATGAAATATTATATAATCATATATCAGTATTTTAAATACATTTGTGTTGCCTGGTGTTTTCAGGATTTCTCTCTAATCATGGAGTCACAGCAGCCATCTGAGGAAACTTTAGATGGAATCCAGGCCTTAGCCTCCAACTACAAGGTTCACAGATGCTTATTCACTAATCTGACAGTGGAAACGTGGATTTTAATTTTAAATCGAAAAGGAAAATAACCCTAACGGTTGCAGTTGCTCTTCCATATCCACAGATAAAGTGCAATCAGCTGGTTCAGCAGCAGAATGATCTGGCCATCCTCATTAGGGACAATCAGGAGATGACACAGAAGTTCAGGAAGCGCTCCATCAAACTGGCCAAGAGTCTGCAAGAGGACCAGAAATCCTACCAGGAGCAGATGGCCAGTGAAATGGTTCGACTCTTCATTTATTTGAAGTGAATCAGGAATTAAATGGGATTTGACTGCAGGGTTTGATGTTTGATATCTAAAAGAAAATTACTTGGATGTATTCATCAGTTGTTAAATTCCACAGAACCTTTGGGAGAAAATGTACCATTAAAAATATATGATGTAAAACAGAGACAAAGACAAAAGAGAATATCATCAGAGGGAGGAAAATATGATGAAAGAATTCATTCAAATTCTGCAAAATAAGCTTTTTCAATAACGTGGGTACTATTGGTGAAAAATAACAATACTCTGCTTTTTCTTTTTCAATGTCTAAACTGTCTTGCAGACGAGGCAAAGTTTACTGAGTCAGGAGGAGCTCAAGCTCATGAAGGATATCCAGGACGTCGAGGCTGCCCTGAAGGAGGAGGAGGTCTATAATGAACACCTCAGAAAGCAGACTGATGTACGAAAATCTCCCAGCATGCACCGTCCTCTGCAGCCCGATCTGTGAAAGACAACCAGTAACCATGTACACATTGATTTTAGGTGTTCACCGCTGTGCCAGAGAAGAAGGTCGTCTTTATGGGGAAGACAGAAGATGCATGTGACATGCAAACATTTGAAATGACATCGCGTATCGTTTATCCGATGAAGGAAGGAACGGCACTGATCACGTTTGAGGAGGAAGAGGGTGAGTTTGTGACCAATCCTGGATGATTACGTTTCACCAGCCTGCAGCCACTGTATAAATGAATTGATCTGCTTTTATTAAAGGTAGAAAATATTCATTTGATCTGAAGGTTGATGTTCACAGGTGCACATGAGGTGGCCAAAAGTAGATAAATCGAACACAATAATTAAAAAAAGAAATACAATCAATTGAATATTAAAAATACAAATCTGCACATGATTTAAATGAGGCACAGACTCAGATAATGTCAAACTGACGTTGAGATTATTCCACAAACTATTCGGAGGGCCACTTTTGTTATTTGTATCCGTCACTTTGGTTCTGGTTGCAATAAAGATTTGTTCAAAAAAGAATCTGTTCGACCTAAGCTGAAAGGTTATGTAAGTCAATAAACCATAATATATTATAAACACACTGAAATTATGTTCAATTAAATACAAATTTCAGATTTTTTCAGCAAATTTTGCTAAATTAACGAATACAGGAACTCAAACAAAAAAAACTCTTAAAAATACTTTTAGAGCATTGAAAATACCTCCATGTTTTTTAGTGTTTGTCTGGAGAAGTGAACCGTCCTAAAATCCTGAGTAACTCTATGTTCCCTCTGTCATTAGTGGCCAAGAGGATCCTGAGCATGAAGAAGCATCAGGTGAAGCTGGATGACGAGTGTCGCATCAACGTGAAGGCCCAGCCGGTTCAGCTGATGCTGCCCAGTCTGGTGGAGGTGACAGCGAAAAACCAAAAAGAGACAGAAGGAGTCTGAGATTCAGTTTCAGTATCAGCTTCCTGTAACTGATCTGTGCCCGTCTCTGTCCTGCAGATCAACTCTGAAGTTTGTCCTCGACGTATATTAATCTCCAACCTGCCAAAAATGGACACGGAGAATCTGGTGAACAAGCTGGAGATCCACTTCCACAGGTCTAAACACGGAGGCGGCGAGGTGGAGAACTGTGAATTCCTGCCCGACTCTGGGACTGTGGTCCTGACATTCGTGGAGGAAAACAGTGAGAGACCGAGGCTACTTACACAGTCATACGTTTGATTCTTAAAACGACCTCTGTGTTTTAACTCAGTATCAGAATATTCGTCCACTGACACAGAGAACACACATCACATGACCATTAACGTATACTTGGCGTGCGCGCTTGTGTAAACAGTAAGGTGGTTGTCTGCTTAATCACAGAAATACTACATAACAGCAACAGCAGTGGTGAAAGGTGAGAGCAGGGATGTCTCTTTTTTTAGTGAAGGCAAAGCCTTGTTAATGCTGCATGATTTTTAATCCGAATTTTGGAACTCGGCGAGAAAAAGCCCCAAATTGTTGTTTTATCAGTAATCGCCAATTGCTTTGTGTGAACCCTCAAAAAGGCGCGAATCAAGAAGCCTGATGGCACATAGTGACAAAATATCTAGTGGGATAAACATCTGGACAAGTCTTTGACTACTACAGCCAAGAGGTCACCAGACATACTGGTCAGGGGTTTCTCCTGGTAAAGGTCATGTGGGTGTTGCCAGTGAATCATGTAGTAACAACTCACAACCACTGTGAGGCTCCCGATCACAAGACAGGAAGTCGTATAGAGTTTGCAATGGTTTTCATTCAGCTCCGGGAAGAGAGATGTTCGGATACCATTTTTTAATTCCCGGGACCAGGTCTGATTCCCGGCCGATAGCGAGAACTGATACCAGTGCATTAAAAAAACCCAGCTGATTAGTGAAGTGATGCCAGATATTGTTGTTTGAACTATTGCTGGTGTTGTAATTTGCCACACAAGTCTATACAGTCCCAGTTTTACTCGCTCTGTCTAACGCTTTCACCACCAGAAATGACTTCTTCTTCACTGCTCTACAAACAGTACTTACCAGGGGCAGTCCAGCACAACTATATTGGAGCAGCAAATCAGAAATGATTATTCGGAAAAGCAAACTGCAGTTTTGTCTGGCTGAAACTAATATATGTTAAAGATGTGTTAGGACGGTACATGGATTTTCGTACTCGCCGATGCCCGGGGCATATTCGACAGTGTCACAGGCATTTCCGATTATTGTTTCAGAACATCGCTAGGTGCTAGTTGACTCATGACTGATAAGAACCAATATGGAAGTTAAAGCGGAGGACTGCATTATCACAGTTTCTTCCTGTCCAGAAACAACTCTTGAGTTTTCAAACTAAAACGGGAACAGCAGCGTTTCTAGAGTTCCGTGTTCCAAAACTCTGGAGTAGTGTAGTCGCGAGAAATAAACGTAGAAACAGAAATGCCTTTTTCAAGCCACAGAAAGATAAAACGAGTCCACAGATAAAATATTTATGTCCATGTCTTCTAAATCAACACTAGTATTATAAAACTGTTTATTTTTAAATGCACCTGTCAGAGAACTGTGGTTTATCCTTTGCACAGGAAGCAGAAGTTATCATGCATTTGTGTCTGGATCTCCCACTAATGAAATTCTTTCTGCTGTCAGTCGCCAAAGGTTTGACAGAGAGAGAGTTCCACGAAGTAGAGCTCCAGCAAAAGAAGCACACCGTGAGAGTGACTCCTTTTCTGAATGGGAAAATTACAAACCTTCAGGTACTTATCAGCACGGGGGAAAAGATTGAAATGCTGCATTTTTCTTTAAAATGTAGAAGAAGTTGCAGTCACCTGATTTATCTGTGGTGATCCCCCTCCAGACCAAGATGTTGGCGTGCCCTCGGACGGTGCTTCTGACAGGAATCCCCCAAGTGGAGCACGAGAACCTGGAAGATCAGGTGGAAATCCACTTCCAGAGAAGCAGCAATGGTGGAGGCGAAGTCGAAGCCTTTCTCTACAACCCGCTGGGTCAGCACACCACAGCGCTGTTCGAGAGCATCCCCTCCAAAACTGAGCAGCAGTAAACTGTAGATTTATTCCTGTGGCTCCAGAAAACCTTATGAAGACACCACTGTCCAGATGAAAAGATAGGATACAGCATTCTCAAAGTGTCTGAGTTGCAACTTCTGCTGCCAGCCCCCGAGTAATTTCTGGAAAATTTGAATTCTCTGGCGATAAAAGACAACGTTTGCATCATGTGCTGTAAAAAGAGCGGAGAAAATCCTACATGCTCTACTCAGATGACGCCCCTCATCTCAAAGTCCCGGACATTTGACCCAGAAAAACCCCTGCCGTGTTCTTAATCTGAAAGACAAACTCCAGACGCAATTTCCCAGACATTTTCCCAGAGTTCATGTCTAAGCTTTATATTCTATTCATATTTCTTGTGGTGGAAGTCAGTTAAATAACTGCCAAATATTTTAATGGATAATTCCTGCTGTTTTCTCACCTGTCCATTTGGTAGTTTGTTTGCCAGCATGGATTACGTAACAACTCATAAAATCTTGACGTGGATCAGCTCAAAGATTTGAATCGTGAGATTTCACATTTTGAATTTATAGAATATATATTTACAGTGGAATCACAATTAACTTTGTGAAGAAGTATATTATTTAATCAAAGTGAATCTTTGACTAAACATTTTTCCAAATTCATGGAAGAAAAAATAAACGGTCTGTTGTAACACTTGATGTGTTAAAGACTAACTGGTTTTCATTTTGGAATAAGTTTGATCAGAAGATTCACAGCCGTCTGTTAAGGATGAAGCTCTTCTGATTTTTCCATGAGATTCATTCTGCCTCAAATCATGTGCTCATGGACGGATTATAAAATGAGTCAACAGGAGATGAAGTTCCTCTCGCTGTCTCACAACCTGACAACCGTTGATTTGATACCTGAAGTCTTCCCACAAGAACACATACAAATCAGAAAGGTTTCCATTAAATAGATGTCATATTATTTCTGATAGGTTTTTTAAAATATCCTGTGCTGAATTACTTTCTCTATAAAAGTTATTTTTTTTAAATGACCAAAAAAAAAAACGTTTTGAGTTTTAATTCAGAAACTAAAATTTTGGATCAATTTGGCTACATCAAATTTGTGCCATGGATTTACAGAAAAAATGCCAGATTCACATAATTGTGAAGTTTTATTAAAAAAAAAAACCAAATGGTTTAAGTTTAGCTCCTGAAATGAAATGATTACATAAATAAGAAACATATTACTAATGCAGCGTATACCACAACTAATTCTTCTTCAGTTTCGCAATTTCATACATTTAAGGCGTTATATATCTACAGAGTAAGCCATTACTCCTCCATGTTAGCTGATAAGACATGGACCTTACAAAAAAAATACAAGTACACGTCAAATATATCTTTTTCTCAAAGATGGTTTCTTTCATTTTTTTGTTAGCTCTTAGCACGGATGTTTTAATTAGCAACTGATTCTATAAAAAGGGTGAAATGTCATGACTGACAGCCGAGACTGACTCATGATTGGTCGAGCGTGTGGATCGTGATCGTCATGGTGGATTGTCGATCGTGGTGATGGTTAAAGAACGTGGTGATGGTTAATGATCGTGGTGATGGTTAATGATCGTGGTGGCAGCTGATCATGGACTATGATTACAAGATGAATTGATTTACAAAATGCCTACTCACATATTCTTCCATTCCTGGCAGTAACTCCTCACCTTCAGTTGTCATTGCTGCTCCCTTCATCTCTATCAGACAATTTCTTATGTATTAACACTTTAAACACTGACACACTATCCATTGTCTTAAAAACAGTTTCTTATAATCAGTGTAAATATTGTAATTTTATTGAAGTGTTCAGTTACACGCGACATCTATTGCACTTCTGTCCGTCCTGGGAGAGGGATCCCTCACATGTGGCTCACTTCTAGATTTCTACGTGTTTCCCCCCGTTAAGAGTTTTATTTTGTAGTTTGTCCTCACTCTTGTTGAGGGTTAAGGACAGATGATGTCACATCTTGTTAAGCCCTATGAGACAAATTTGTGAATATGGGCTATACAAATAAATTTGATTGATTGATTGGCCCTTCCACAGCTCTATTCTCGATTGCTACTACACAGACCCATGCTACAGATGCACAAAATGGCGGCATTCTGATATTTTGGCTTCATTAAATAAAGAAGGAGACGGGTATTCCATCTTTATTTACAGTCTTTGATTTTGACTCTGACTTTCAAACATAAACAATATGAATAGTTGCTTAATCTATATGTGCACACACTCACAGGACTTGTGAAAACTGAAGTTTAAAAGAATGAGTTTAATTTTAATAGTAAGGAATTTTACAATAAAATCTACTAATATACTGAGAACATCATTTTTACGTTAGTGTGTTCAGAGCATGACCACACAAAAGGAATGAGACTGGGCACACCTCAGATCAGGTTTATTGTAAAAACAGCCAAGTAAAAGTAACAGCACTTTTAAAAAGGAAAAAAAAAAACTTAACTGACTTTACTTAAAAGAATCCGGCTAAAACTCCAAGTGCAATAGGTGGAAGAAAACAAGACAGCCGCTGACAGCTACAAGCAAACAGACCGAGGTCAGGCACTTGGACAGAAGAGAGGGACAGACAGGTGTGTGTAAAAATAAAAATACATTCAAAGAGAGACAGCGAGGGACAGGAGGCCAAGAATACAGCAACACACTGGTGACAGCCAAGTACTTTGGAAGACCTAATCTCACATCAATACACAGGAAAATCAAATAATTTAAAATCCTCTAAAATAACAACCATCTATTTGTTACTATACATTGTTTTCATACTGATCACACAGTAACTAGTGCAGGAGTAACTGCCGACACCACAGTCCTCTACAGCGTTTAGGTCGTCTGTGTGCACTGTGTTCACTTGACCTCGCCTTTTATCATCTCGTCGCACTCATGACAAACCAAAAACCAACAAATACATTTAAAACACGGCTCGTGTTTCTGTTTCCTACAGCCGAGTCACGCTCAGATAACGTACCCGTCATCACCCAAGGTCAGTGCAAACTCAAACTTAGTGTCAAAGTGACATGGCCCCCCCGACGACAATATACTCTGTCAGTTCATTATGTGCACGACAGCAACAAAACCACACCTTGCTATGTGTGTACGCGGCCTGATTTCATTTACTCACATGTAACAGCTAAAACGTTTTCAGGAAAAACACCAAAAGGGTTGTTTGCAAGTAGAACAGGTTATTGTTAATAGAAGTATTTTCTGCTGTGAAGTTCTCTGTAATACTTTTGTCGATAAGAAACAGTACTCACTAAAATGCTGTCTAATGCTAAGTCTTACACACCAAATACACTGCTGCTTTATTATTGCAAATATTAAAACCCCTATTTTTGAAATACAGTCTGTGCCAATTTTTTGTCCACAACGAAGTAGTTAAGTCACTTAAAGGGGGATTTGAAGAATAAATTCATAATATAACTGGATTAGTAATAAAATTAAATATTAGTAATAAAAGTCGTAATGTTACTTGGATAAAGTAGCAATTTTCGTCTAAATGTCAATTGAGAGGGACAATGTGGGGAGATCATTATGTCGCCTGCATTAAAATTAGGAAAGTGGAGCTGTACTTTAGTAAATGTTCCACAAATAATGAAATTCTTCAATTATGTGACATCAGCTCCACATTATAAAAGCATCAGGACTTTAAAAAGATTCTATAAGAAACTGAAACAACCACACAGGCTTGGAGGAAACATTTGATAGTGTTCGACTGTGAGGTGTTAGTTAATTGCATCTGCGTGGTATTCTAAGAAATTCCTTAATTTCTAAACAACTAATGAGACTGGTTCAAGATTTTGGATCCAGAAATGGAACTCCAGCAAGCACAGGTTCTCCCTGATGGATATTTCCTAAGATAAAAATATGTTGACATATCTCATTAAGTTAAGAAATTATTCTCATAATGTTCTGACTTTTTTCAGTAACTTTGTCTGTAAATACACTAAAACTTCAAGTAGTATTCCCACTATTTTCTCATTAAATTAGAACTTTATTCTTGTAACACTAAAACTTTTTTCCTCCTTAAATTATGAATTTATTCTCGTAACATTGACTTTATCCTTTTAATCTCAGATTTGTTTTGTTTAGAATCGCCCTCATACTCCATCATAGTTTTAAGATCAGAATATTAATGTTGATGATGAGTATGAACATTTGTGCTCTTCACTATGATCAAGTGAATACAAGGAGAAACACTTGAACCATATTGGATGTGTAGTGAAAAGATCCACTCATCTTAGAGTAACAGACGTCACCACATAGGCACATCTCATCTTTTGATTATTGACCATCTGTTTTTTTCTCTTCCTATATCAGCTGTTCTTCCTGCTCTGTAGTTCAAACCTTAAGGTGAAGGGTAGTGTCAAGTCAGACATACTGCATATAGTTGTTAACATCGCTTCTCGTTAAATTAAAACCACCAACCATCTTCCGATGAGAGTCCGTAGAGAGAGGAACATTCGTGAAAATGTCGCCTGAGAAGAAACGACGGCGAGAACCGTGCGTCTCCTCTGGTTCGATAAAGAAGCAGCAGGAGTGTAATAATGGGTTGAAAGGAAAGGAGGGGTAGGGTGAAAATGTAGTGGGTGTACTGGTCATCCAAACTGGAATTATGGGACACGTGCATATCGGTCGTTTAAACGACAAGTGGTGCCCATTCGCTTGCATTACGTCCATACTGGGTGAGGAAGGGAGCAGGAGCCAGAGAAAAAAAAAAAGGAATAAATTAACAAGGAAAATATTTTCTGTTGCGTTGTTAATGTGAAAGTTAAGGCAGCTTTGTTTACATATTAAATAAGAAACAATAAATCAGCTGTTGTGTTGAGACTTAACACCCTGTTGATAAAATGATTTATCAATCATCAATCACAATCAACTAACAGTCAGGAACTTTTTTTGACAGTTTAACCATTTAAGGCATTTTATCAAATTACATCTCAACAGTTTCAATTTCTACGATGTGAGATTTGGCTGATTATCTCTTTAAAGTGTTACATTCTTATCATTAAAAAAAAGAGAAGATTAAACCATCACAAAAACAATAATCTGCAGATCATGGAGGATGAAGGTGATAATTTAAATCACTTTATTTCAAAATGAATCAAAATGTCTTCTACACAACAGATGATTTTCAGTATATTAAGGTGTTGTGAGAGTAAAAGCCGATAGGACGCATGGAGGAGTCATATCAGTGCACATACCTGAATATCAGTAAGCTCTTTGTAGAACCTCTTTGCCAGATCTGGACCGTTCTGCATGGTCGGGATCTGGTACGTCTGAGAAAGACAGAGAGAAGCAAATTCTGTTGTTTACATTTTAGTCCTTCAGACAGAATGTTTTACAATCAGTGCATCTGCCTTCATTTTAGTAACTGGATTACTGTCGATTTTCCGCAGAAACCTGGTTCCTAAACGTCATGCAAAATATAAACCTGGTCACCATGATGAGAGAAGGAAACCTGACACCTGAGCAATGTGTTGTCATGTATGAAATAATTCCATCAAACTTCATCAATTACGGCATGAGCCCACTCTAGTATACATTTTGCGAGCACCAGCAAAGTAAAAAGTATGGTAGTTAAGGTCCCAGTAAGGAACCTGGTGGAACTCCATGAGAAATGTTTGTGTGCATGGAGGAGTCGTTGTTAATATGCACAAGTTGAACTCCTGACCTTTCCTTTGTAGAGGAGGCTGCCGACAGGACAGACCACGCAGGCCGTGCCTGCTCCGAACATCTCCTGGATCCTTCCAGCATCCAGAGCCCCGAGCAGCTCCTTCATGCCCATTGTACGCTCGGTCACCTTGAACTCACCCTGCAACACAGAAACCAACGAGCAATGAGATGAGGTGAAAAGGATTAAGCGCTGCTGTTTAACATTTTCGTTTAGTGCTCATTAAAATAAAGAATAAAATACAATCAAATAGATTGTGCGTGAATTTGTACAAACTTGAGTTTTGGAAAAAGCAACACCCCTAGTGAGCAACTAGACTGAAATTGAGTTTACAAATCCCACTTGTTGTAAAATATGAACATGTTTTTGAAAACAGCCTTGTTGTTTGGCCTTCTCTCTGGACGTCTTACCCAGGTTCTGGCGAGGTCCAGCAGAGATTGCCTGGTGACTCCTGGAAGAATGATGCCGTCCAGAGGAGGGGTCATCAGCTCTTTCTCTGAAGTGAAAAACGCACACATCAGATGCCAACGTACAACAGCGGATGAACTCAGCAACCCGTGTAAGAAATCTTAATGAGTCTGACCTCCATTCTCATTGGTCCAGTAGATGAAGAGGTTCATGGTGCCGACCTCAGTGATCTCTTCCTCCTCTCCATACAGCCACAGTACCTGCTGACAGCCTTGCTTCACCGCCTCGTTCTGCACCATTATGGTGGGACCGTAGTTACTGGATAAAGAGACGAGAGGCAGTTAGAATAAACCATTTTTATTGTTCATTTTGATTTTTGTTCATGTGTTCATGTTTCCGCAAAGTTTGATTTTAATTGTTATTTGATGCTATAAAAATGAGCTGAGACGTCATGATTGACAGCTGAGCTCCAGGACATGATCTCTGTTGTGCAGACTCATGCTCCAAATGATGCCAAAAGCACAAGATGGCAGCAACTGTATCTGGATTATTTTAGCTTCATTTTGGTCCAATGGGAGGACGTAGAGATGAGTAATCCATCTTTATGCAACCCATTCAGATGCTCCTGCTCCAAGGTTCTGATATTCTTCTTGCTGACTGGCTCGTTGATAGATAAATGGAACGGACCAATCATTGACAACATTAGTAATTATTAATTCACTGTTTTCCTTTATTCTACACATATCTGCTGAAAATCGAAGGTAAGATTCATCTCATGGCTTTTTTATTTGGTTCATAGCATAACATTTCTCAGTTATACAAAAAGAAAATAACTCAGGTGTGTGTGCTGAGGAGGAAGGATCCTACTGATAACTGTCATCAGTGTGAACAACAGGGGATTCAGGAAACATTTCAGTTGGTTATTGTTGTTTCGTCAGAGAGTGCTTCCTTGACTGAATAAAACATTGTTGCACTGAAATGTTTCACTCTTGCCAAGAAGTAAAGAGACACAAAAAATGCTGCTCTACCATGATTCCTGCAAGAGAAAAACTTCCTTGTGACTGAAAGGATTTCAATGGACAATGAACAATACAACTTAAGATTGAGACTCAAGTGATGAGTCATTCTCAGGTGCGGAAATGTTGGCAACAAATTGGAAACAGAGAAACACTCGGCTCTGACCTGGTCTTAGTTAAAGTTGTTATGGGTTATAAAGAAATCGCTGATTATACATCCAGCAGACATAAAGAAACCTGAAGCAACTTAAGTCTTGTTTCACTGCAGCCCAAGTCCAATGTTCAATCGCCCTTTAGCTCAGGTTTGGTCTCCACCAGCTCATGAAGAAAGTATCTCGGTGTTCTGGGCATCCATTATTATATCACAGATGCTGGTATTGGTACCCAAGTCAATCAATAACAGGGTTTCTGCAGGTTTAGACAAGTCAAATTTCAGACGTTTTAAGACCATATCGAATTAATTCAAGATCTATGTCAAGAAAGACAGATAAGAGGGAAAATCAGAGTCTCAGAAATTCTTAAACTCCCTCAAAATTGAAGTTAAGATGAAGTAGTTGAGTAGTAAATAACCCTGGAAACACCAAGTTATCTCTCCAACTACAAACAGAGACAGTTGGTTGTTTACAGTTGTCTTTGTGGAAAAACTACAAGATATGGAACGTTTTCCTAAAATGGACTCATTTTAAAGCACGACGGAAGTAGTGTTTAATGAAAGTTAAAATAATTAAGACATACCTAAATGTATTTCAATCATATTTTCATTTATTGAAGACTTTTCTGAAATTGCAGGTTTTTATTAACTTTTTAAGACCGCACGAAACTGAATGAAACCTTTAACAGAAATAACCCCACGATAGACAAACAACACATCAACCTTTCTTAAGTCACATGACTATTGGTGCAAAATCAGGCTTGATAGTTGACATGCGTCTACGCCGTTTGGCGGGAAGGGATTAGAGTTTGTTGGCTTACTGAGTTGAGTGGGTGTTGGGGGGTGTTATGTAATCGCACTGGATCTGAGCAGGTGCTAGTTTGGGAAGCCACAGTCATGTGGAAGCGGGCCTGTGATTACAGGCTCTGTGGAATTACAGGGAGGGATCTACACTTTAAAAACCTTCTCTGTTGAGTTAAGAGAGAAAACATTTTTCTTTTTGCCTTCGTCTTACCTCATCCCCTTGATTGTATTTGATTTTGAGGTGAAGCGCAGCTCAATTACACATTTCTGTCACTGCAGAAAAAAGCTCTGGTGTAATAACTTGCATGATGTTTCTTAATTATCTTGTTTGACCGATCAAACCAGTGATATCAGTGACCTCACCATTTCACCTTCCGGGAAATTATACATAATCTATTACAGATGCCTGATGCTTGAAAATGTTCTCTAGTTCCACCCTCTTGTTTTTAGGGACACGCTTCAGTCCCCTCTGTCAGAAGTCTTTCCTTCTAAAGCTATTTGAATCTGAAAGCCACGGACAATGTCTTAAATTTGATGTTATAACTTTTTATTTTCTACATGCAAGAGCCATTCATATTTATATTATATTAATATTGTACTTTTTTTCTTATATTTGGACATCAAGGAGAAATCGTGTAGTAGGAGTCAGATATTTTAGGATAGAATGAAATTTAACACATGACCAAGGTAAAGCTGATGATTCTGGTAGTAAAACCAAAATGATTCTGAGTGTTTGTGCGCACTTTGTCTCGTTTTGTGTGTTTCTGCTTGTTTTCTGCTGAGATACGTGAAGCTCTTTCACCAGAGACGAGCTCATGAACATCAAGGGAACAACTCCAGCAGATTTATTTGCATCATTCTTGTGTTCATCCGTGGGATTATTGGACATTCTGGAGGACACTCTGACCACAACATGGTCCACCTGATTCCCACATACAGGCAGAAATGAAAGCTCTCAACACCAGTTCTGAGGACATCTAAGAAGTGGACCGGGGAGGCTGTGGAGGACCTTCAAGCATGTTTGGACTGCACTGACTGGGATGTCTTTAAGTCTGCTACCAACTGTCTCAATGAATACAAAGGCTGTGTATTCATACACACAGGCTGTGTATTCATACTTCAGACAAACCGACAGTTAGGTTGGTAAAGGCATTTAGGGGTGGGGACAGTGACAGGTTTAACAAGTCCAGGTTGAGAAGGGCGTTAAGAGATGCTCAACAACAGTACTTAAAGGTTCCATGTGTAAGATTTAGGTAAAAGGGATTTTTGGCAGAAATCAAACATAAAATAATCCTAGTGATGTTTTCACTGGTGTGTTTCATCTAAATTGTATGAATTTTCCTTTTCTTTACCATTGAATGGGCGCTTTATATTGAAATACTTTATATTTACATGAGGGGGGGGCCTCTCTGTGACAAACCGAAACAGTTTTCACCACTAGATATCACTACATTCTACACACTGAACCTTTAACAAGCTCTTCAGGAGACGGAAGCCCTGCAAAGAAGCCGGACCTGACTCTGTCTCCCCATGGACAACACCAACCCCCTGCTGGACAATCTAAAATTCTTATACAGAGCCAACAGATCTGTCGACGATGCGGTAAATATGGCACCTGGACTCCCCAGGAACCTACGCCAGGATCCTGTTTGTGGACTTCAGCTCTGCATTCAACACCATAATCCCTGCTCTGCTCCAGGACAAGCTCATACAGCTGAGTGCCCCTGGCTCCATCTGCAGGTGGATCACAGACTTCCTGTCTGATAGTAGGCTGCGGGCCATCAGGACCAAAACCTCACACCACAAAAGCATTATTTTCCCAGACTGCTGCTGGCCTCATCAATAAGGCCTGGGACCCTTAACCGAACTGTTGTGATGGCACTACCTGTAACTGTGACACTTTAACCTCCTGTGGCAAATGACACACTAACTGTACATATTGCATAATTTTTCCCCTGGTATTCTTTTTTTAATATTTAATTATTGTGTCCTATTTTTATATTTTCTATATTTATACTTCAAACAGAAGGACTACTACCAGCTAAACTGAGAACATAACTACGTCAACAGACAATGCTTGTCTACAAACCAATCAGTGTCAAGTATAGGTAGTGGAGCTCATGTAGGAGATGATGACACGACATACGCCGTACATAACTTATACAAATTTTGTGCTTCATTAATTACAACGTGAAGACAAAACTAACCAGATAAAATGTAAAAAATATAACAAAGTCTTCAGGAGTCAGAGAAAGAGGAAAAAAGCTTTACTCACCCTCCCATCTTGTACGCCCCGACTCCTCCTTTCCAAGCTCTGACATACGAAGAGTCCGCCAGCAGAGACACAGGGTTAAAGGACCCTGTGGCAAAGTAGGGGCCCACTGGGCCGACGATGACAAAGATCATGGCTTTTCCTGGCCGAGACACGCCAAGAGACGGCTGAACGAGGGGTTGGGAAGAGGAAAAGACAAGTAGTAGTCAGAAAGTGCTTTATCTACACAAACAAATGAAATTATGGACTTTGAAGATAATGTATATTGATATCACTGATGACAGTCAAAAACTGACTGAAAATCAAAAGGGACAAACATTAATCTTTTAATACGTAATCACATTGTCATAAGCACTTCCCAGCTGTATACAACAATTATTCCATGATATCATTAATTGATTAAAATGACCCTGACCTAGATATGGACAGAAAACAGAAAACCGATTAAACAGCAGCTAAAACTGATAGCTGCCTTATGAGTTGATAGTTCTAAAATAATGAGGCAAATAGTACTGATAATTACTATTATGATGACTATACTCAATATATTAATATAGTTTACAGGTGTATATTTTCTCCTCAAAGCATTTTGTTCATTGATGCCAAAGCTCACCTCAATTCCTATAAACGTGGGTCGGATGTAGAGGCTGGTGTCCTGGGAGAAGGGGACCCACTCTTGGTCGATCTCTACCAGCTTCCTGATGCACTTCAGCAGTTCATCTTTATCAAACAACTATCAAGAAAAAAACGAGGGGATTAACTTGTGGCTATTTTTTGGTGACACAGTCAGACTGCTGCTTTCTGTGTGATCGAAATCAATACAGTTTTTGTTGCATGTGCATCAATCATCCACAACTAATCTTTAGTCATTAACGGTGAAACATTGTCTTTCATAATTTTTTTCCCATGTGACAGAAGAAGATTCACATGGTGTTGGATCATCATGTGATTTACTTTAATCAGTCATCTCTGTTTCCACTGTGTCCTCCCCTCAGGATTAAGTATCAACTCTTAAATCAGGGCGGGGATTTGTGTAGTCTGCCAAAAAATAGTTTGACAGCGTTGTCAATAGTAACGTAACGTGCCCAACCCGCACGCTTAAAGAATCTAAAGAATGTGAGACCAGAACGATGAGAGCACTGTGTTGATTTTAACGTGCTGATTCAGGCACAGAGGACGACACATAAACTAGGAAGTCTGGTGTCAGTTCAGTCCTTCAGGTATAAGTGGCAGTTCAGATGGTATCTAGATTCAAGAATGTTCAGTCTTTCTGTGTGAAGTTTGCATGTTCCCTCCTGTGTCTGTGTGGGTTTCTTAGAGTAATTCAGTTTCCTCCTGCAGTCTAAACACATGCAGGTTAGGTTAATTAGAGAATCTAATGCCTGGTTCATAAAACACATTTTTTAGCCTGATTTGGCATTTTTTGGAACTTGAAGACAAACCCCCCCCCAGATCGGAGCCAAATCGGTGTTCTATCACCTGTCACCAATTGCCATGTGTAAACTTTTTAACAATGTGATAAGAGAGGCTCGCTGACACACAGCCTCCTCCAACTGAATTTCTGCCAGAATAAATATGTAGATGTGTGTGAACTTGGAATAAGCCTCCAGCAGTTGAAGTGTGAGCGCAACTGTTTGTTTGTCTTTGTATGCAAGTAGTGCAATTGGCTTACATCCCCTCACCTGATCCTACCTTACCTCACCTCACCTCACCTCACATCAGCTGATCTTACCTCACCTTACCAATGCTTTGTGAAAGTGCAGCAACGGTTGAGCCAGAATAATGTTTTTCCATTCAGTCACAATAGATGAAGTGAGGTGAGTGAAAATAACTGTACGAGCAGCTGGTCAAGTGTAAAGATACAAAATATTGGTTTAAAACCAAACACAACACGTCCCTACGGAGAGCCCTCACTGATGGGGTGTGAGCGTTTCTGAGGATGAGTCGGGGTACGAACTCACCGGCAGGCAGCTTCTGTCAGCGCTCCTGTGCATCCTTTCCATGTTCAGCATGGGTCTGAAGAGGCGGATGTGGTTGTCGGCTCCACGAAACGCCTTCATGCCCTCAAAGAGCTGCAGAAAAAAACAGACAGAAACACAACACTTTATCTCTGGACAGTAAAACTATCATTTCTCAGTCTGTGCAGCACAAATTGTAGGAAACATGTAAAATCAAGTCTTGATATATTGAATAGGACCCTTGATGGTTATTTTTCTGTTTAAAGTACGCAGTTTCAGATCTGATGTACATGTATGTGCTGCTTCATGCTTCATGTCGGCAGGGCCCTCCTCTCTCACCTCTATAGAGTAGTGCAGGGCTGAGCAGGCAGGGTGCAGCGACAGGTTCTGGAAAGGTTTGATCTGAGGAGCCTCCCAGCCATCCTTCTCCGACCAGTTGATGGTCAACATGTGATCGGAGAACTGTTTGCCGAACACCAGGGAGGAGGGGTCGGGCTTCGGCTTGCATGCCGTGTTGCGTTCGATGTTGATATCTGCGGCCTGTGGCGGAGACGGACAAGCGATTCCGCAGAACAGCGGAGAAACAGAAGTCGACGGGACGAGAGATAGAGTAGAGCAGGCCACGGATACAACAAATGATTTTAACTTGGTATTATTGACAGGGCATGCTTTAACAGGAAAGTAATTGAGCTTTGTAAAGAGTAAGTCAAACAACTGATCAATTAGACACAATTAAGTTCAATTAAACTGAATTAAATAATTACAATAGGCAGACAATGAGGGACAGACAGAGGGGAAAAACAAGTTCAAATTCTGGACAACTTGAAAATAAGTCACTTCCGTCTTCATATTATGATCCAGACACGCTCAGTTGGGCCAGTGTACAGATAAAACTCGTTGGAGATGAGATACGTATGAGGAAGAAAATGTGAATATTTTCCGGGCTACCTTAAAGAAACTGGCGAATCGCAGTGAGCCAATGGAGAAGGGGAGTGCCTGAACATGTCGTCCATGAAGTGCCTGCGAAAAAAATGTGACAAAGCTCTCAGCACAACAGCACAGTAAGGGTGGAGATCTACAGACAATCAGTAGCCAGTTTACGAGGAACACCTAATTGATGGTTCAACATAAAGAGAACCCGTGGAAGCTCCCGATTTAAATATACAGTACTTAAATATAATGGCCCCATTCTAGAGTTAAGAAAACAGTTTGTACAATTCAGATGATTACATGACACAGTGAACCTTTCAAACTAATGCAGTCCAATACAACATGAACATGGTACTATATCTCCAATCATGGGAAAACACAGGAGCAACATGTCAGTGATTCTGTATTTACTGTGTCCATCAGGTAGTAACAAGCCTGCAGCTAACAGCCAGGGCCGTAAATAGAAGCAGGCACAAAGGCAGGCTACTCGAGGAATGCAAAGTGATACAGGAAAGTCCGGGTGGAAAAAACCTGATGGCCCAAAAATAATGGTCTTGGAAAAGTGGCCCCAAGGATGGACAACATATCAACTAGGTCAGGTTCCTGGTTTATGAACATGCAAAGCAAAGTAAAGCATGATCACTTGTCTGAGTGATCTGATTCTATAATATTAACAGTTCTTGTCATGAGAGGTTATACAGATTGGCAATATAGTAAGTATCTATTGTTGATTCAGCTAGTTTCATGTTGATAGTTGTGTTGGATAAGATGTGATGTTAATTCATTGATTGTTGGATTTCTACATGGATCACTCATCCAGCATGTTTCAATGTACCAGTCACATTTCGATCAAAACAAATGCAAGCCACGTATGCAGAGAACAGTGAAAGTGGTGTCTCGGTGATTCCTACAAGTTGCAGTGGGGCTCAGCTGCAGGAGTGACCCCATGTGTTGAATGGATGATGCAAGTTTTGCTTTAATTACGATCATGACTTTGAGCAGCTACGTTCTTTTCGTCTGTGACGTGCACGGGTTTACCGCGTGCATGCCATTTGTATCCTGTCTGTGTTCATTTTCTACCCACAGTCTGGAAGTGAACTGGAATTCAATTAACAAACGCTAGCATTTTTAGCAGCTAGCGTCTGAGTTAGCATAAGTGAGCGAACAAAGACTAAATACGTAACAGAGGCATGATACTGCAAGAGTATACTACGATGTGTTCTGCAGATATGCGTCTTAAATCCCCCATAAAGAACTGTCCCCTCTAGCCGACATCAAGACTACATTAATAAATATGACGATTTAACAAATACCTGCTTATGACGGTGCTTGCACAATAACAAAGATCGAAACGTCGACTTATTCTAGTATAAATAGTATATACTTTTGAATTCGGCATACTACTTATCTACTACAAATACGTATTTAGTAAGTGAATCTAAACTGTTTTTCTACCACCATTCATACTCCTAAAAAGCTTATATTTTATAAGAAACGGTCTAAAATGTTGGACGATTTTCACATCGAAACTTGACGATTCGGATAAGAGCATGAGTTCTCTCTCCAGTCTTGTGTATTTCTTTTAAACAGGCAAGACAAATTCGGTTTCCATTTTTCTGACTGAGGTTTGGTTTACGTCCTTTGCGCTGTAATGTCAGCCAGGCGGGTCACAGCGGCTTCGGTCCGTGTGAAACAAACCACTTCTTCTCCTTGTCTCATATTCCAGTGAATCATTTACAGACAAAGTCAACAGACACTTGAACATCACAGACATCGGTCAATGAACTCACCGTCCGCAGGGCTGCCATCTCCGCTACGTGATGACGATTAACCAGATTACGGGTTCGTGCGGAAACAAAAGTCGGACTCAGACCGAGTTCCGCTGTGAAATATGAGACGCAGCCGAAGTGAGGTGAAGTCACAGAGCTCCCAAACTAAAAATGTCCTTCAGGTTATTTGACCACACCACAGTACACTCCTTATTTTAAACAGTGTAACACATTTATTTGTTTTCCCGGATCAGTATTTGTACATAGTATACAACACGATGCATATGAACCTAGGAAAAGCAGTTCCACTTGAATAGGATCTTGTTACATGAGTTGTATTATTCAGCCTCATTCAAAAAGTCACCGGAGGCGTGACTAAGAGCGTGACATCCCATTGGTGGACACCATCAAGCCCACAGCCGGAGGTTATTGGAAGTCAAATGGGAGGATTCTGATTGGTGGAAGAGGGGGGAGGGGACCAGGTCGTTTCACACACCAGTGGATGGTAGGTCAAGTTGCCTGACTGATCACTGAAGCAGTTTATTTACTTTATCTCACATACTCTTCATTTTCATCCATCTCAGAAACAGAACAAACACACGTCACACACGTGTGAATTGTGCATTAAACAAAATTGACATTTAAAATAAAAAAAGAGTAGCTCCTCCATAGGCGTAAGGAGACCGTAGAGACCGGGAGGACCAGAGTCAGTTTGGGATCTGACTCTTGAAGCCATAGTTGAGTTCAGCTCCTCCGCTGAGCAGCATTTCTATCCCAGTGCAAAACGTAGCGTCAGCGGCGAGATACAAGGCCATCAGTCCAGACTCGACCTCAGTTCCCATACGACCCATCAGCTGTTCAAGAAGAAAACAGTCATTTCTCATTCTGGTCCAAGTTTGTGATTGAATGGGGGTAAAGGCCTTCTGTTTGTGTGTTTGTGTGTGTACTTGTACAGAAATCTTTCTGAGGACCATTTTGAGCCCACAACCTACAGAGTGAGGACATTTTGACACGTCCTCACTTTCTGAACAACTATTAATGAGCTGTTCGAGGGTTGAGACTTGGTTCTAGATTCTAATGAGCTGTTTGAGGGTTAAGTCTAAAGCTAAAACCTTTTAGCTTTAGAATTAGGGTAAGGGGCTAGAGACTGTTTTATGTCAATGAGTGTCCTCACAAAGATAAATGTACAAGTGTGTGTGGAAAGGGAATTTGGTGGCAGAGGCCTCCGTGAAAGTTATGAAAAGACTCAATAAAAAAACGCCCTACTGCCACGTATATCAATTATCTAATTTGACTTCTTGAATTAGCATTGCTTCAATAACTAGGATGAGAAGAGGAAAGAATTTGTGAAACATAAAAGAGTTTACACTGTGATAAATGACAAAGTTTAAGAACAAGATCAAATTACTTGAAATGGGATACAGTCATATAACAATGTTAATCCTCTTGTGGTTTTACTTTAACACTGTTGAAACTGAGACTAGCTGCAGGGCATTGTGATTCACGATCCCACATGCACACACCACTGTGTGTGGTGGTTTGAACCATTAACACAACAATGTTGGAGGGACTGCCCCACACTGATTTTTTCTTGCTGGTCCCAATTCAGAATGAATAGTTTATGTGGTTCTGAGTGAAGTGCAGGGAGCAGCAGCAAGAGAAGAATCAATCCCTGCTTTTACACAATCTGTTTAAGGCGGGAATGTGGCAGCATTAATCCACCTTGCAAATTCTTTATAAAAGACAAATACCCGATTGTCGGAGGGGGAGGAGCATTTTGTCCTGCTTTTAAGCCGGTAGAGGTAACACAACAATGGCTGTTTTGTTTTTAAACGTCCTGGCCACAGACTATATCATAAAAATGTATGACATGACAGCTCCCACAAGTGACGCCAACAAGTTATTATCGCTCCATGGTGGCTAGCTGCAGTATAGATCACAAACTCTGCCTCCTCCACGTTAGCTGTATTCCAATTACGGGGCCACTTCCTTAGAGGACATAGTACCTGAAGGATTTCCATGATTTGCATCAACACCCTGCTTTTAACGCTGTTTTTAACATGTACATGATTGAATGCTCTGATGAGTTGAACCCTGGTGCATTCAAAACTGTAAGCAAATGTTTTGATCTTGCTGTTTGCTGAGATTTTACACGATTCGATTCATTTTATTTATATGATTTTACTCTTTTAACTTATTTTTAAAATCCTATACAGATTTCATCCTTTTTTATTCCTTTTACCTCTTTAATTCTCTCTACCTCTTTTATTCTACTCCTTTTAATCGCTTTTATTTTGCTTGAAAATTGTATTAAACTGAGCTTGGTTTTTTAAAATCTTGTCTCTGTGAAAATGTGCTTTATAAATAAAATTGCCTTGCAGCCATTATCTCCTTGAAAAACAATTTATCACCAAAGCGCTATGAATCCTTGGATAAATTGACCGCATGAAGGATCCGCCCATTGGAGCGGTTGTTGCTAGGGGATGAAAGGACGCATTTGTTGGACGAGTGTGCAGGAGCCTTTGAAATGAGACGGTCTGCTTGCATCACTGTCTCTGACTGACTCTGAACAAGGCGGCCCCTGAATTGAGACACAGTTCTATAATGTTTTTCAAAGATGGGATCTGTCATTTGAATTAGTCCTTATCTGATGTTCAGGTCAGTCTGGTGTTAATTAGGTATCTGGATCATCATGATTGACAGCTGGGACTGTCTTATGATTGGTCGAGAGCGTGCATTAGCTGGACCTCGATTCCAAAGCTCCACTACATGATCACTTCCCTGCACTCTAAAGCCGACTGATGTCACCAGCCCAAGATGGCTGTAACCATACCTGAGATATTTCTGCTTGATTTCTCCACAGTGGGAGGAAGTGGAGATGCGTCGTCCATGTTCATTTACAGTCTCTGTGGTTCTGCTGCAGCTTTTTTCTGACTCCAAATGATTGACTTTCATGCTGGTGATAAATAATTCCTCTCCTGTTGAGACTTACTCTTTTTAAGAAATCCTCTCATGATAATTTCTCACTAACATCACATGGACGTTTCATGAGTGGTGAAGATTTGTCTGTGACATCAACCATGTCTCCTCTCCATATTTTCCATGTATGAGCCCCGCGCTCCTCTGTGAGCACTCACCTGAGCGTTCTCTCCTGCTTTAATGGCGGCTATAGCATCTGGAGTCTGTCCTGCTAAGTCCTCCCACAGAGGTGTCATCACGTTACCTGGAGAGATGCTGCAACACATCAAAAAATGTTATGAGACAACAGAGTGTATTATTAGACCCGTAGACGGTTCAATACTAGATGACAATATAGACTTTACATCAATGATGTTATATTATAAGATAAGAGATAATCCAGGAAAAGAGAGGGAATGATTCTATGCATCTTGGTTTGTAGTAACTCTACTTTCAATGATGTAAATATCAGTATATCTCCTCTGAATGCTTTTTGACCATTCTGATGATTCATAAAAATATGAAGGTTTTATGTTCTGTACTGCTTTAAATACATGACTAATTCTATACATGATATATTATTTATCATAAAAGGAGGTGGAGCAACTACTTCCATTCACTCAAGTACTGTAACAAGTTGAAATACTTACTGACTATTTCCTTTTTTTTTTTCTTCCTCATACTTTTACCCAATGACATGTAACCTGTTATCTTCTCAGATGGTTTGAATTAAATATTTGCGACGGAAAAAAAGGAAAATCCTCCAGTAATTTGTGTGGCAGAATAATTTAATAAATTAAATAATCTAATTAAATTTACTTTAAAGAGATTATGAGCTATGAGTTATGAAGTATTTGTACATTGTTGTTCTGGTACTTTTAATTCCAGAAAAGCTCTTAATTTCTGTTCCAAGTAAAGAAAAAAAGCTAGATTGATTTCTAGGAAACAACACAATGACCGTCTTTTTAATTAGACATGGGATTATCTAATATCCCAGAATTCGTTTAATCATACTGTATTACATGTATATTACAAGTATAAATGTGTGGTAATTGGTGTGAAAAGTCATTCTTATCGTTTGACTCACCAGTTTACTCTCACATTGTAACGACTCTCATCCACGGCCATCGCCTTTGTCATGGAGATTATCGCCCCCTTGTGGAGAAAACATCACATTACAGGACTGTGTTGTCTCCAGGTGATATTCCAGGAGTGATGCACTTGAGAGAAGCGGTTGTCTGAGTGATGAACTCACCTTGGATGCAACATACGGCGCAGCATCCTTCTGCCCGAGGGTTGCCACCAGACTGGAAACATTGATGATGTTGCCCTGACGCTGCCGCAAGTGGGGCAATGCATACTGCGGAGAGAGCGAGAACTCTGATGACTTCAAAGATGTATATACACAAGTCTGCGCTAGCTATGGAAGCACGAGACCATTTTGATTTTACAACAACTGAATTAACATTGGAATTTAAACACATATTTCAATGAATGTCCGGTCAACTTTGACTGCAAAAAATGTTATATGAGCAGATTTTCTGCAGGTTCACCAAGTTGAACTTAAGACTTTTGAACACCACATACTGAAGAGTTTTATTTGGTTAAACTAAAGATCACAATAAAATCCCCAGGATGACGTGACCAAGAATTATCAATCAAGCGTATGATTTTGCATCACATATGCGTCACTAATTCCCTGTTACATATAACAGTACTTCCTAAAAATATAATTCATTAATCATCAAACACAGTGTGGACCTGTTGCGGATAAATGAAGGAACAATGAAAAGTGAATACACTAATTCAAAGTTCACATGTGAAGTTTACTCAAAATATTGGAGATTTTCCTCCAGAAATTTGCTAAAATCACATTACAAACATTTATTAAGTAGCATTAATCCCTAGAGCAGGATAGAAAAAATATACATGAAATATCACACTTTTAATAGCTTCCAAGGACTTTATTTCTTCTAAGGAACTAAATTCAAGGCTTTCTAAACATCTGCAGTTAATCTGGATTAGAGTGAGGTCTGATCGCTCGATTCAGGCTTGACTGATAATTCTTTTGGTTTCTAAATTTCATAAGTCCGACTGAAGCTGCTGATGTTTTGTCAAACTTTTTAGAGCTATATATATATTTAGAATGGATTCAGTGATGTTTAATAAGAGTTAACAGAGTGATTGGTCAGATGAGCAGAGGTGAGAAAACACTCAGGGACTGTTTCTCTCAGCTCTTTTTCCATTTGTTATGCGACTCTTCCTGTGAACAAATGAAAGAAACAGTGGGAACGACTCTCAGGAGAACCTGTTTGAAGTTGTGTTACATTATTCGTCTATTTCATCATCCTACAAATCGCTTCTTTTCTAGTGAAGCCGACCTTTATGATGCCGACCAAGAGCTGCTGATCTGTATAAAGGAACACCATTCTGCAAATAATAATAATAATAATAACAGTAATGAATGATTGCGTGGGGATTAGGTTTTAGAACCAGGTGTTCAGTTGCTTATTTGACTTAAGTCCTGACAACCTTCCAGTGCCTCCACAGGAATCATTGTTCTATTATTTGCAGTGTAAATAAGCTTCACAAGTTCACAGAGGAGCAGGAAATATTACTTTAGATGCCAAAAAGTAGCTGACGACGTTCAGATTCAGCAAGTCCCTGAACTCCTCTGCTGTGGTGTCGTCAGTGGGTTTATGAGGTGGGTCTGAAGGAAAGGATTAAAACAATAAAAAGAGATATTAAAGCAACAGGAAGTTTCTCCTCGAGAAAAAAAAAGAAGCAAAAGAGTGAGACTCACGCCACCCAGCGTTGTTGACCAGGCAGTCGATTTGCCCATATTTCTCCACTGTGAACACAATGAGTCTCTGCAGAACAAACACAGAAGCAGCATTTTATAAAGCAGAAACACCAGCCGCAAAAGAAACCACTTAATCTTCACATGAAAGCAATGGAACAAGAAGAAACACTTGCTGCTGCATTTCTCCTCGAGGATTCTGTGAGACATCCAGTCTTTGTTCACTTATTTACAACATTACTGTGTCTTTAAATTTATTTTTTAGTTTCATCAAAACAACACGAATGAAAGGAGATAGAAACAAGTGTAAACAATACAACAATCATATCTATTAATCCATTCTTATTATATCAGCTAAGAACATGACCCACGCTTTGTCGATTCAGCCCAATGTTACCATTCTACTTTATTTTTACATTTTAGTTCCTTTCTTAGCTGTTAATTTTAATTCAAAACTTATAATGTCATTATCCTTGTTCAATTTTTAATTTGTAAAGCTCTTGACCAAACCTGAACTACAGGTCCAGTGATCAGGACAATAACCTGAGGCTGAACTTTACCTTGATGTCATCCTCTTTGGACACGTCGCATGTGACAAATGTGCACAGCCCAGGTCCCGCTTGGTTCAGCTCCCCCTCCAGAGACTCCCCCTCTGCACCTAGTGAACATATCCAGATAAGAGAAAAGAGACCGAATATAGATTTGAGGATTTAATCTTTTTCTGTGTTCAGCTTGAACACAAATGCATTTAATGCATTTGGTGCAAATTGAATGCACCCGTTCTAAAAAAGGGTCGGGCAGTGTTCTTATGCATTCATTTGATTTAATGAAATAAAAAAGCTTTTTGATTTAAAGCATTACTCACGTCCTCTTGCACAAAACACCACTTTGGCACCATTCTCCACTGGAAACAGTAAACGCACATCATATATTAGAATAAGAATACGATCACAGACTTATTCAAACTTTTGAACTTTTCATAAAAAACGATACCAAACACTCTGACGATGCCTCTGCCGATTCCTTTAGATCCTCCAGTGACAACAGCCACTTTGTTGTTGTAGCGGAGCGACATTTTCTCTCAGTTATTAAAAAGTGGCCGGAGCAAGACAATTAATTTGCACGGCTGCCAAAACAACCGAGATCCGTGTTTGACATTAGTCACGAGTGGGTCCCGAGTCGAAGTTTACTGTCAGAGTGCAAAACATCCGCACGTGATTGACTGCACGCACCGTGGACACTTCCGCTTCTGCTGAAAATAAAGGGGTTAAGTTGACTTCTGTGGAACTTTAGTTAAAGGTAAAGTGTGTAGAATTCTGTGATATCTAGTGTTGACGTTGCATGTTGCAGCTGAACACCCCTCACCTCACCCTCTCCTTCCAAACATGAAAAAGAACCTGTGGTAGCTTCACTTGTCATAAAAACTCAAAAGGTGTTTAGTTTGTTCAGTCTGGACTAATGTTAAAAACATGGCGGCCTCCGTAGAGAGGGTCCCCTCGATGTAAATATAAAGTATTAGAACATAAAGGGCCTTTTCTGTGGTAAAGAAAACTACAATTCATACAATTTAGATGGAATGAACTAGTGAAAACATCATGAGGATTATTCTACTTTAAATTTCTGCCAATAGATCCTTTTCACCTAAATCTTACACACTGGACCTTTAAGTATTAGTGGAGCCTGAACCTGAAATGTACTTTTACCTGAACATAAAATACTAATCATGATAAAAGAATGAATGTCGAACTTCCTCTTTCAGTAAAAGTCTGACATTTTAGTTGCTATAAGTAATTTAAATAATTAAAACCAAATAAAAAAATAATTCAAAAAGTAAAGATAAATCAAGTGCAGCAGTGCATAAGTGTCTGTGTCTGGAAAGTCATTGACAGTTAAAGACTGAAGTAAAGAGAAGTTCTTATTTTTATTTTAAGCAGTTTTTTCTAGCTGTCTACATTGATATCCATAGGCTGTATCTCCAACTTTCTATCCACTATTTCNTGTTTTTTAAACAGCAAGTGAAAACTGAAATATTTTTTAAAAAATCAGGAAACAAGAGTGGCAAATATACACTTCTGCAAATAGTGCACCAATATGAGGTCCATCTTTACAAGTGAACTATGATCTCTGCATATTCAGCGATATCATAGACTATAAATAAAAAGCTGTGACGACATGACAGCTCCCAAAAGTGAAGCCAAAGCTTCTGGATATTCCACTGGTGGCTAAAAGTACATGTTGTACTTTTAAGTACAAGAGTTCGTGAGGGAAAAAAGGAAATCGCGCCAGGGTGGAGGGTTCGTGGGGAATATTCTCATTTACATATTGACATAGATTTGGTCGATGTACAACCGAGTACAGGTAGTACTTACCACACTTATCTTTCTTCAAGTGTTTATGTTTCTGATAAGTTTGGTTTATGGTTATTTGAAAATATAAAAATTGGCTGTGAGGTCATGATTGACAACTGAGACAGACAACTTGTCTCCACTTCCTCCCACTATCAAATAATGAAGCCACACTCACAGGTATGATGGCTGCCGTCTGCACAGTAGCAATCATGGGATGGAGCCACAGTAATGAGGTATATGTCCCATCCACTAACATGAAGGAGGCAGGGCTTATGACCTGTACTGCAGCCGGCCACCAGATAGTGATCAAGACTAACGCTTGGGGGGTTATGTTGAGCAGTAACATAATAATTTATGTCTAATTTACACCAGATCTTTTTGTGAATTGCTGCAGGTCAAACACTTGTAATTTCTTTTGTTGTTGTTTGCTTCCAAATGTCATTCTAATAGTGTCAAGTCCAATAAAGCAGCTGAAACAGGTACAACTGAGACTGAGGAGACAGACACTTGAATTTACATGGAGTAATTGAAGGCAACCGAGTAGGCTGTTATGGGAATCGTGGTTTCACTGCACACAGGCACCTCAAAGAGAAATGTGACTGTAGAGTGAAGAAGGCGTCTAAAATAACCACAGACGTGCAGATTTATGTTGAATATAAAGTATAAAGTGTGGTGTGACAGGTCAAGTTTCTGGACACTTGTGATTCTGCACAAACCACAGTCAAATTTACTTATGTTCTAATCTAAAATAGATTATGACAGCGAAGTTTACAAACAGGCAGGGGAGAAAGAAGCCGAGAGAAAATACTTCCCACATCCCAGGGTGTAAATCATGACCTTCAATAACTCTTCCTTCTTTCTTGTATGCACACATGCATGCAAAACATGTACAGTATGTTTAAGAGAGAGCGAGGGGGTTAAGAGGCTGACATTTTGGGTCAGGAAAGGTTGCCGGGGGCACTCTGAGTGCTCTTGGAGAGAAGAGAGGGTTGACGATTGAATTTCGGCCCAACAGCATTCCCCCGGAGTGTGAGAGAGAGAGCACAAGGGAGCAAGGGGAAGAGAGTGAGTGACCTACAAACAAGCCCAACCAGCCTAACTATGTTAACTCCACCAGATTAACACTGCAGCAGCTCCTGGAGAGGCCACTGCTGCTCCCCCTCTCCTCCCAACACATGACACTGACAGGAAGGCGGGACAATAAGGAGAAGGAGGGCAAAGAGGAGGAGGAGGAGTTGTGGTTTGTACAATCATAATGAGACGACTGCTAAACTGTCAGAAAGAGGGAAGAGGTGGAGGTACAGCAGGACAGCCACGGTCACTGTGTGGAGGTGTGATTAGCTGGGATCATCAGCGAGAGTGTGCTTTCTTGTCTGTGCCCTGGACATGGTGATTAACAGGTGAAAGAGCATGAAGCATGAAACTTGAAGCATGAAACTTTTGTCCAGCTGTTATCATATATCTCTATTTCATGCTATCATCTTATATTTTGATAAAGGAAGGATCTCATCTTATTATGTGCATCTGAATAATGTGATTTACAGTCAAATCTATGTCGGAGAAATGTAAAACTAAAATCATGAGGATTTTTCTGAAAACTCTGCAAGGTCAGTGTGTTCATTATTATAAATATAGAACACCTCCAGTAACTTTAATCATCACATAATTCATATTCATATCTACTTAATGGACTGTATAATATTGTCTATTTGAGGTTCTGATTCAACTGCTTGATCATTTTGCAGGATGTAATTTGTGATGCCGACGTGCTGTGACACACACAGAGGGGTTTACTGTTGTTTTGGAAAATAATAGAAACGCAAGAGTTGAATAAACACAAAAGAAAAACAGTTTCAGCAAAAAATTTACATTAACCATCATAGAGGTAGAAAGTTATGAAGGACTGTCTATGTTGCATTATTTCTATCTTTGTGTTCCTATTTAATCCTACACAATCTATCATAGGAATATGCCAAAATAATAATGATAAATTATTCTGAGGCTATCATATATAAGGTGTTGGTGGATATTTTAAATATAGAGATATAGGATGTTTTTTCAGTGTTTATTTTCTACAGTGTGTCAAATAGTTATTTTCTGAATGTAACAGTTCTGTTAAAGTACCAGTGTGTAAGATTTAGGTGAATAGGCTCTACAGGCAGAAATTGAACATAAAATAATCCCAGTTTCATCTGAATTGTATGAATTGTTGTTTTCTTTACCCTTGAATGGGCCCTTTATATTTAAATACTGTATATTTACGCAGGGAGCGGGTCCTCTCTATGGAGGTCACCATGTTTTTTACAGTCGCCCAAACTGAACAAACTAAACACCTACTGAGTTTTTATCACAACTGAAGCTACCACAGGTTCTCTCTCATGTTTGGACGGAGAGGGTGAGGGGTGTTCAGCTGCCACATGCAACTTCTTAAGTTCGTGGTAAAGGAAGCTGCTCTCCCCTACAGAAAACACTGCATTCCCTGAAAGCCTCATCAGTTGTCTGGCCAAAACCTCTGCATTATTGTGATGTCACAATGCCAAGCAGTTATTCTGTCACACCCCCTGACAGTTGACCAATCACAACAGAGTGGGTCAGCCGGCCAAATAAAAATGATCAACCTGAATATGAGCAGAATATGTCTCCTTTAAACAACAGATAGACAATTCATTACATTTGAATTCAAAATCTTCCTAGAATTTTTGATTGCTAGGTTAAAAAACATTGAGAACCCTTTTAAGAGTTTTAAACATGATCCCCTTTTCAGTGTCTTTCATCTCCATCTACTCACTATATTTATGTTCCTTTTCCTCAGAGCAAAGAGAGAGGAAAAGTAAGACGAGAAACAAAAAGGAAAAATTAAGACGACTGAAAGATGGATAATCAAGACAGCGGAGGAGGAACAGATGGAGGAGGAGGAAACACAGAAAAACTGCAAGCGAATGAGGTTGGTGATGAAGAAAAGCAAAGCAAGGACAAGCACAACAAGAGGGAGAAGGAGAGCAGTGAGAGGCAGCCGAGCCGCCGCTGTCAGTGGAAGAGCGGCTGGGCTCTGACTGAACGCCTGGCCATCAATGTGTCAGGGATGCGTTACGAGACCCAGCTCCGCACCCTCACCCAGTTCCCAGACACACTGCTGGGTGACCCCCAACGTCGACTTCGCTACTTCAACCCCCTGAGGAACGAACTCTTCCTGGACAGGAGCCGCGTCTGCTTCGATGCCATCCTGTACTTTTACCAGTCAGGCGGGAGGCTGCGGAGGCCTGCCAACGTCCCCCTGGACATGTTCATGGAGGAGCTGCGCTTCTACGAGCTTGGCGAAGAGATCATCGACCGCTTCAAGGAGGAAGAAGGCTTCCCCAAGGAGGAGGAGAGGCCGCTACCCACCAACGAGCTGCAGCGGCGCCTCTGGATGCTGTTTGAGTATCCGGAGTCCTCGAGTGGAGCTCGCATCATCGCCATCATTAGTGTCATGGTGATTGTCATCTCCATTCTCATCTTCTGCCTGGAGACGCTGCCTGAGTTCAGGAATGAGAAGGAACAGAGGGAGGTGAGGAGGGGTTACATGGTGCTAACACAAACAGAGGATTCATGGGGCTGCAGATGGTTGTTACGTCAGAGAAAAGTAATGTAAGAGAGTTGGACAACCAGATGAGTGAAGGAACGGCAGATGTCATCTTCCCAAACATAAACCTGCTCTTACAGCACAGGGTGGAAATGTCCATCTCCCCATCAACTCTGAGAGAAACTGGCAATGCAAAAAAAAAAGTCCAGAGACAAACTCAGGGTAAGAAAAGAACCGAAAGAAACAGATAGAGAAGAAAGGAGAAGAAAATAGAAGGCGAGGGTGCAGTGTCCCAAGATTATTTTGGACTTGTAGTTAAATCTGATCCCACTCAGGGAAGGAAATGAAGGAGATGAGGAGAGGCAGGCAAAGCAGCTAGAATAGAGGCTAAGTGTCAGGGATAGGATACCTCGAAGAGACGCTGTGAGAGCCAACATGTGCATTTAGATGAAGTGGATACCTCAAAAGTACTGAGAAGAGAGAGAGAGACAGAGAGAGAGAGAGAGAGAGAGAGACAGACAGACAGAGAAGGGGAATAGAGGGAGTATAAGGTAGAGAGAAAAGTGTGAAGGCAACGAAAGGAGATGAGCTTGTCTCACATTACCCCCTGGAAATCTAAAGGTCTATATATAGAGGAACGACAACCCTGTGAGCACAAAACACATAAACAAATGTGTTAACGTATTAATAAACACTGTGACTCATCGGCTTCATGCTGAAAACAGCATGGAAATGGAGCTAAAAGATTAATGTTTCCGATGACCGCCACCAAATGAAATTAGCCCCACATGTTCTCTTGTAGCCTAGAGACAAGCTGGATTCTGAAGGTTCAGTCTGATGCACAGCAGCGGTTGATTTACCTTCGCTATCAGCGACACCGTTACTCCCATAGATATATAGATGTGCTCACATGATCACTACGCAAACAAACCCAAACCTAAATACACAGCCGTCTTCATGCTATCACTCACTGTAAATATGATGGACGACACTTCTCCACACTATCTTGGTCCAATCGATACACACTCTCGGCCCATCGTGAGTCATTTATTCATGACGTTTCACCGTGTTTTTATAGCATCAGATAACTAATTAAAACCAAACTTATCAGAAACATGAAACAACTTTAGTGGGATGAGAACCAACTAAAATGACAGAAATCATCTTTGATGTGTACTTTTTGGTTTGTTCCATCAACCATCCACCAACATGGAGGCAGGGTTAAAGACCTGTACTGCAGCCAGCCACCAGGTGGTGATCAAGATCCTTTGGTGTTTGTGTTTCATCTCTCACTTCATTATTGTTTTTAAACACTTGTAACTCCTCTTGTGGGCACCTATACATGGAGAACATTAAAAGGGTTAGATATGGAATATTTGTATATTTAAAACTTCTTATTAGTTGTACATGGAGTGGTTATTAATACTAAGTAGGGAAACATTAATTCATTGTTATTGCCAAAATATACGATTTACACAACTTGTTTAACATGCTGAAGTAATATGGAGCAGCTTCACACAAATAAGCATGTTTATTTTCTTATTAACCTTTTGTTTAAAGTTATTTACCTCTACGTAGTCATATGATATATTTACCAATTGGATTTGTGCCGTCAATCCCAACATATTAAAGGTAAATGGAATGTTTGATGCCCACAAATGATGAGAAAATATGACACAGAAAACAGATCAATCTGGATAAACCTGAGACTCCACTGTCAACAGTTTCCATGAGAACTATTGTTTTTTGGTATTTCTTTTGTACTTTTTAGGAGTTAGGAGAAGCTGATATCAGTCAATGAGTGTTCATATTTCTGTTAAGTTTGGTTGTATTTAGTTATTTGATGTTATAAAAACATGGTGTCACTTCATGTTTTACAGCTGATACTGACTCGGGATTGGTCAAGCGCTTGTATTGATGAGACCAGGATACCACGGCTCTACTCTGCTATCACTACTGTGCAGACACAGGCTCCAAATGACAACATGTCCGCAAGATGGCAGCGTTTGTTGGGCTTCATTTCTGAATAGTGGGAGATGCCTCATCCATCTTTATTTACAGTCTACTGGGAATGTCAGAGCTGTTTAAATGTAGACAAAATAAAAGGTGTAGCTATCATTACTCCCCTGGGTAAACGCGGCATTGTAAAACTTCTGCAGCAGCAGAAACTCTTCTCCAAATAGTTGCAGAGAAAAAATATATATAAAAGACACAGAGACAATACGTACTGAAATACCCTCAAACTCCTACCGGTCATGTCTAACCTGCATCTCGTTCGCAGAAAAAAACAAGCAGTGGGGTCCAATGAAGTGTCAAATGCGTTGGTCCTGCCAGTGTCTGGGTGAAACGTAACCCGGAGTCACATGGGTGCAATGCTTTTTTGTGTGTTTAAATTTAGAGAACCCGATTTATATAAAAGTCTGTAAGGAAATATAAAGCCGGTGCAGTGAAAATGGAGAGGAGAGAAAAGTTAGCACAGTATCACAGACCTCACAGGTTCAATCGGATCTGGATGACAGATGTCATACTCTGAATGTGCTGAGGACAAACTCTCATAATAATTGCTTCTTCTCACTTCTCCTCTGCCCCCTCCGGTTTACTCCGTCCTGATTTCTCTCTGTTTATTCTCGTCTCCATGGAGCTATTTGCTATTGCTCTACTTTCCCCCCTTTATTCTCATATTTCTCTTTTTAACCCACGTTTTCAAAACAAGAAATGACAGAATATGAATGGTTTCTGTTAGAATGCTTATGCTTATGATTTTTTTTCAATCTTTGAGAGCAACCGTAACCACTTTTCCTTCATCCTTTCCTTCACAGCAATTCACCACCATACCTCACCCCACCATAGAGAACGAAACCATTTTGATCCCACCTGGCTTCACTCCCTTCCAAGACCCCTTCTTCATCGTGGAGACGATTTGTATCTTCTGGTTCTCATTTGAACTCACCGTGCGCCTAATTTGCGCTCCGAGCAAGATGCACTTCTTCAAAGACGTCATGAACACCATCGACTTCTTCGCCATCATTCCTTATTTCGTCACACTTGGCACCGAGCTGGCCAAGGACAAAGGCGCGCAACCCTCTGTGTCTCTGGCCCTCATCAGGGTCATCAGGCTGGTCAGGGTCTTCAGGATCTTCAAGCTCTCTCGTCACTCGAAGGGCCTCCAGATCCTGGGTCAGACACTGAAGGCCAGCCTCAGGGAGCTCGCCCTGCTCATCTTCTTCCTCTTCATCGGCGTCATACTCTTTTCTAGCGCTGTCTACTTTGCTGAGGTGGACAGGCCTGACACGGCCTTCACCAGCATCCCTGAGGCTTTCTGGTGGGCAGTGGTGTCCATGACAACAGTTGGCTACGGAGACATGTTCCCAGAGACGGTAGGGGGAAAGCTGGTGGGGTCCATGTGCGCCATCGCTGGCGTGCTTACCATCTCGTTGCCAGTACCCGTCATCGTGTCCAACTTCAGCTACTTCTACCACAGAGAGACAGAGTGTGAGGTAACCACACAGTACCATCATGTGTCCTCATTGCTGTGGGAAGAGGACAAAGAGGACGATGATGAGGAGGGGGATGAGGACGGATTGGATGATGAGCATGAATTCACAGGAGATAACGCGCCCCTGTATGAGCAGGGCAGCAGGGGCATCTGCCCTCCACCCAATGGGACTCTTCTGACAGGACTCTGGGCTGGACAAGCGACTGGCGATCAGAGAGGAATAAATTTCTACCTCAAAGAACCTCTGGTCACACAGGTCTGACATGGAGCAGACGGACTGACAGACTTTTCAGTTGAATATTAAAACCAAGATGGACTGTTGAAAAGACTTATACTGACTGACACAAGATCCTGTTTGTGCCTCTCATGTGATCATGGTTTTTATAGTTGAGACTTTTGCTTAATTATATTACAAAAAGATGAAAAGCAAATGTATGTTTTTCTCAAAAAAAAAAAAAAATCTTCTACTTATAGTACAAACATATAGTTTATAAACTTCCATAAACTGCAATTCTCTTTAGGCAGATTTATACGACAGGTAGAGGTAACTTATTGTATATGATGATATACATACATATATATATATATACAGATACAGAAATGAATGTTCAAATTTCCATTTATCTAATAGTTTCATGTCGTCATTTTCCCTGAAACAACTTTACTGTTTTGTAATGTGTTGCTAGTTATAGGGAAAACAACTGATTCTGAAAAAAAAAGCTTGATTTAAACCCAAGGATATTTTCAGCCATTAAACAGTTATCAGTGTAACATTATATTCCAAAGATATATGTTATTATGCTTGTTGAGAAATTCAATATTTTTCAGTAGTAAGTTCACCTGCTGTGCATTGATTGAAAACACCCTAAAATCAGAATTATTTAACGACTGAACTTTGTTTCCGTTTTCCTATAATTAGCACCAAGCTAAACAGTCGAGCAAAACAACCTTGAAAAGAGGTGAGAAATGATTCAGAAATTACAGACACAGTCAAATGAAACAGTTTCAAATTAAGTGAAATGTCAAATGTGCCTGTGTCACTTTGTTTGGCTAAAGAAAGGAGTTGCACTTTGGAAAGCAGGTTGATAATCTTATTTACTGTGCAACAGGTGAAATATCTTTCATCCAAGGTGTATCCAAGAAGAATATCTGAGGCAGCCTATCTGGAAAAAAAATGTTTAAGTCAGAGAGCGTGGTGTCAAATTGTTCTTGAATGTTTAATCATTGCAAAAGCCTCAAATCTCACCAATAATCACCTGTGCACCTGAATGATGACAGGGGTGTAGGTGGAGTCGACTGGTAAGAGGAAGAAGAGATAACGGCAGATTTCTTCAGATTTTGTTTCTTCTTCCTCATCTCTGTACAAGTGATGACTGCTCTGACATGGATAACAAAACAATATCTGACTTTATGTTTGCAGATATAAAAACATTTATTTTTCAGAATGAACAATGATGAAAAGATTTATGTTTACATTTTACGTAAAAAACCTTTTCCTTCATTCAATATATTTGGCTGTATTTGTGGTTTTTTTTATAGTTTATTTATAGTTATTTGCAATAAAGTTTGTGGTTAAACTGTAAAATATCAAGCCTCAATTACATTTCCTTAAAATAAGGGTTTGATAACGATTTTCTTTTTTTATAAATCGGCTAACTCGGCATAAGCCCTCAAAAATCCATATCGCTCTACAAATACAACTGCTGATCCTACCATAATCTAGATACAGACATACGACACTTTTATGATCCAGGAAGAGACGGTATGCTGACGTCTCTGTCGCCCTTAGTGCTACATGCTGGAAATCTCTTAACTAAAAATCTATCTGGTTGTATTATCCACACATGTAAACCACAGTGCAATTAGTTCATATAGGAGCTAAACACACAGAGTGTAGCAGGTGTTGATGCCCTGTGCTTGTTGTAGTTATGACAGAAATGCGGTGTTGTAATTTCACGCTGACAAATGACAACAAAGAGATCATGGGTTGATCATGGTGCAGACAGAGTTCATGTCATTGGTCCATAGCCAGTTTGTATGTTCCACAGTGTAACAGATACAGCCTGGAGATGTGTGTGTGTGTGTGTGTGTGTGTGTGTGTGTGTGTGTGGAGAAAGCTGATCTCAAGTCAGTATAGCTGTAGGGCCCCCGGGTGACATTTCTGTCCCAGTGGTGAAGCTGAAAATGATGATGCTCCACTAATCACCGCTGTAAACTACTACTACTGACAGGTTGTGTGAGGAAGCAGCTGAGGGCTGGAGCTCAACTAGGAGGCAAAGCTTTCCATTTCATTCCAGCCCTCCTCTATGGCCATGAACCTTTGGGTAGAGACAGAAAAAACAAGAAGGTCACTCAGCAGAGCGCATTCCTCCGCCAACAGTCCCCTTATGAAACCACATTTAAATCCAAAAGATCCAGATTTTTATTTGGAACCAAACCAAACTTCACACACTCATAAATATCAGTCCTCTAATGAATTATTCTCTGAGAAATCAACAGAAATGTTGAAATTAAATCCACAGGCAGCAGGAGGAAGACAAATGTCCTGGTTTGAGCTGTGGTGCAGTTTTTAAACACAGTGTGACATCTAGAGGCAGGATCACTCATCACACAGCTCATTAAAWAGCTCGGTACTCGCTCTTCTCATGTGGATTTTGAAAGCTTATAGGTCTGATTGGTACCAAAGTACCAAGTGAGATGTTTAAGGCATCTTATGAAGGCGTCTCCTGGGGGCCATTGCAGGTTTTCACTGAGACACCCAACTGGTAGGAGGCCTCTGGGTAAGCCTGAAACACCCTGGAGAGAATATATATCTCATCTGGCCTAGTAATGCCTTCCAAAGGAGAAACTACCACTACAACCTGGCCCAGGATAACATGTTAAAGTAATACTCAAAGTTTTTAAAAGTATAAATCAATCACTGTCTGTAAGAGTGTAACATTGCTGTGATCAAATGCTTTAGTCTCCTCCTTAAAAGAGTTTGAATGGAAAATAGTTTTCTGCAATAAATTTGCACTTAGGTTATATCTATCACTCATTCATTTCCTGTTAGGCTGCTAGCAGAGTGTGACACTAATGACCCTTCACTTTGATTTTAAAACAATTTGATTTGCCATAATGATGTTAGGCTCCATCGGGCCCCCCTTCTCCCTCATAACCTCCTCCTTTTTAAACATAGACAACGTGGTCTTATAGCTGTGCTAAAGGAGGACATCAAAAATAAGATTAAGAAAAAAGAAAGCTAAAGGATAAAAATTCAAATTGAGAATTCAAATTTGGCTTTAAAGTTGATCACGTGTTGGTTCTAGTTAGAGCTCCCTTGAAAGAGACAATAAAGCACTGTATGCATTAGGGAGTGGATAATGTGTGATTGACAGCTAATACTGTCCAATGGGTGCAGGTTGCAATTGTAGATATACAGGCACACAGTGTCCTCAAGCTCTCAGGCTCAATTTTAAATGAATACCATTTCAAAAATCATGACTGAAACACAAGGTGAAATAAAAAATTATATAGAAGGTTTTACAAATTTATGTTTTCATAGCTGTTAATCTGGATTACTCACAAACTACAAAACTGCTTTTATTTAAACAGTGAGATGAAGCTAATTCGAGGGGGCTGAATCCAGGAATTAGTTTTCACTTTTTAAGATAGCATCGTTTTTGTCAATTGTGTTAATTTTCCAATAAATAATAAAGAGATCTTGATGGCAATTAAAACAATCAGGCATAATTACAAATATTAGTGTGTGCAATTTGTTGTGTTGATTTAATTGAATCTAATGAGAGCCATTCTAGTAAAAAATCTAAAATCTTTTATTTAAGTATTCAGACCTTTTATTAAGTACTTTGTTACAGCCTCTTTAGCAGCAATTAGAGCTTTGAGGATTCTTAGACAAGCCTCTACGAGCTGTGAGCACCTGGGTTTAGGGCGGTTTATCCCACTCTTCCTGACAAATCCTCTCAAGCACCATCAGATTGGATGGGAAGTGTCTGTGAACTGCCATCTTCAGGTCTCTCCACAGATGTTCCGTGGGGTTTAAGCCTGGGCTTTGGCTTGGCCTCTAATGACAGTGAGAAACTTGTCCTGAAGCTACTCCGGCGTCGTCTGGGGTGTCTGCTTCAGGTGCTGAAAGACGATCTTTGCTCCAGTCACAGGTCATGTGCATAGGTTCTCCTCTGCGTTTGACTGCATTCATCCTTTCTCCAACTCTGAACAGTCTCCTTCTCACTGCCAATAAGAGATAGTCATATCCAGGTGATGAACAGTGCCTAGTTTGGAGGGTTCTGTTCCGTCAACGACACAATCTTTTTCCTCATGTTTTCAGAGTCTCTTAAATGTTGTTTGACAAACTCCAGTCAAACTGTCAAATGTCTTTTAATCAAAACTTCTGACAGGTTCTCTAATCTCGGCAGAGGACTTCTGAAGCGCTGTCCAGCTGCTGACTTTGACCAGACGAAAACTCTAGGAGGAGCTGTTGTTTCCAAACTTCTTCCATTTGAAAATGATTGAGGCCACTGTTTCTCTTGGGGAACTCTCTGAGCTTTAGAAATGTTTTATATCTTAGCTTCCACCATGAGTTTTTGTCCTAAAATGCAGTCATGGGTCTTATAATCATAGAGCTTTGTTGTTTTAAACTATGTCTGATCACCTCACTTTGCCACAGGTAGACTCCAGTCAACAGACCACTGAGTGTATACAAAGATGGATGACATGACAGCTCCTAAAAATGAAGCCAAAGCGTATAAACTGACCTCTGGTGGCTGGTTGACTTCCTCTGCAAAGTTGCAGTGTCCGTATCCAGGTTTGCATCAAGTGTCACAGCAAAGGGTTTGAACCGTTTTGCATGAAGGATACTTCAGTTTCCAAAAATGTTTTCATGTCATTATAGGTTATTGAATGTAAACTGACGCATTTTTATCCTTCTAAAATTCAACTGACAACAAAGTAAAGTGTGCAAAAAGTGAAGGCGTCTGAAGCCACTGTATATAAACCAACCACACTCTATATTTCAAACACTAAAATATTGTAAAATTGATGATATGATATGTCACACATTTTAAGTCTTGTTAATCGTGATTTAGGCAACAGAACACTTGTTAAACAAGATATGTGAGCACCAGTATATTTGCTGATGTACTTGACGCTAGACAGATTAGAACATCTGGACTCTCAAATAACATGTGGTAACAGAATAATTACAAGGAGAGGAGAACATACATCAAA